AAAAAAAGCACATGCTACCTCCCACGGCCTAACAGTCTTTTCCTCTATTTTAATGTATTCATTAATAAAACTTCCTATTTTTTTCCAAAATAACAAAAGGCTAGACAAGAAATATTAAGCACTGTCTACTATTTTACCCATCAGTCAATTTCTATTTGTAGAAATACAATAGTTGTAAGTACAAGCCTTGAAGTCTGCCCTTTACTTGGTGTGACTCTAGGTATAATCTCCCCAAAGCTTAAATTCTTCACCTACAAAATGGTGATAATAATAGCACCAACTTCACAGGTATACTGTGTACTTTGCTGGCACCTAGCAGGTATTCAACAAATACTAGCTTTTTAGTAAGCAATACTGTTGGTGTTAAGAGTTTCAAACAGCTTAGCAGAAATGCTGTTGGCTTTTTCATTTTTTTAAAATGTCCTTAACACACAGTAAAGAAACTTTTAAAGTCATTCAGATTTATGATTATGCACAGGATATTCACTGCAGGGTAAGAAAACATACAAAATTACTTTCTTCTTTATACTTAGTTTTCCAAACTTTCTTCAATGTACCTACTTTGCTAATCTTAATCTTAGGCAACAATTACCAAAGAAAAAGACATGTTTTTATAACATAGATTACACAAATCTATAAACTTCCATGTACATAAGTCTTCAACAACCATCAACATTTGACCTCTCTTGTCTATTTTACCACCCTCTATGTTATTTTAAAGTAATCCCAATCATGACATTTTTGAGAATACTTAGTCTTATTATTGTCTAAACAACCTGTGGTAAACTACAAAGTATGGCTACAAATCCCCCCCCCCATTCTAGAATGTGCCCCCTTTGCAACGCAATGCTGCTGTTCTGCCCAGGATGAAGTAGAGCCTTACTTTCTCATCCTTATGAGACTTCCTAGGCCTTATGAGACTTCCTAGGACTTAGAAAATGTATTTTAAGTGACATTCTGATTGCAAGGTTGCAAGAGGTCTTACAAACTTCCATTTTCACTCCCCTGGGCTTAGGCAATCCTCTTGCCTCGGCCTCCCAAATTGCTGGGATTACAGGCTTGAGCCACCACGTATGGCCCACAAAATATTTCAATAGTCAAGAGTCATCCAGAAATACAGCCATTATTACAATTCCATTATTTACTTTGCATACCTGTTTGTTTTAAAAGATTTGCTTCTGGGGGAAAATAATGGGAAATCCTAGTGAACATAGAAACATGGAAGCTAAGGGTGTGTCAAATGAGGAAAGGATTTCTATAAGCACAGAACTTCTTGGGCCTTTAGAAAAAACTCCTAATTTTTAGCCAACAAATAGTTAAGACACCAAGATATATCCAAATCTTAAAAAAAAAAATTAGAAAAAAGTTTAACATTCCACAAGCTGTAATGTCAAGTCTATGTGAGAACACTTTCAAAGACAAACTGCTCTCCTTGAAGTAAACTTAATCTATAAGTATCGAGTTCGATCTTCATTCAGTAAGTGGAAACCATTTTAGGGTTCTTTCTGGAAACATCACACCAAAGTGTGATCCTCATAATGGAAAGATGATAACTAGTTGTAAGTTTCAAAACTTGCACTCTTTTAAAGCTGTTGACAAAAAAATGGGTGTAGAGCAGTAGGTGATTTTAAAACCAGATATTCAACTTACCTAATCTAACCAGTACAGTCACAGAAACATTTGAGAACAGGAAAAACCAGCTTTGATCACATGAGTTCACGTCAAAGTAGAAAAGTAAAAAATTAAGATCAATGAAAATCAAACCCCACACAACTCTAAAATTATAGTAATTTTATCCCCCACTACCCACCTTTTATGGACTTATCTGATGATCAGCAAATACCGTGTGTTAAAGAAATAACTTTAGGAAAACAATGATTTGTGAGAAGATAACAAATTATTTCACCATAATGGAATTCTGATTTGGAATTCAGAAATTAAGTAATCTTAACATGAACTCAAAATCTGATTCTCTTTAAATGGTAAGCATTCTAATGTGATCAGTTGTTGATTAAGTTATTTAACAGTGAAAGGGTTCATTAGTTAAGTTTAATCTGTTAGTTAAATATTAAGTTTGAGGCCAGGCGCAGAGGCTCAAGTCTATAATCCCAGCATTTTGGGAGGCCGAGTCGAGAGGGTTGCCTGAGACCTGAGGTTCCAGAACAGCCTGGGCAACTTGATGAGACCTCATCTCTACAATAAAAGTAACAAAAACTAGCCAGGTGTGGTGGCGTGCGTCTGCAGTTCCAGCTACCTGGAAGGCTGAGGTGGAAGGATCGCCTAAGCCCAGCAGGTTGAGGCTGCAATGGCCATGAGCATGCCACTGCACTCCAGCCTGGGTGACAAGAGTGAGACTCCAACCAAAAAAAAAGAAGTTTGGGTGTAGTAGCTTAGGTCTATAATCCCAGTGCTTTGGGAAGCCAAAGCAGGATGGCTTGAGGTCAGGAAACTGAGAACAGTTTGAGCAAAACAGACAACCTATATCTCTACCCCCCCAAATTAAAATATTTTGATGAAAAGCCCATGCAATTCATTCAAGCATGTTCCAATGTTCTTTATTTCTGGCACTTTATTATCTATGGTAATAGAAGGATATATCAGTAACGATAATCTAACATGTATTTTTATTTGGTTTAGGGGCACCATAACTCTCCATTCCACAGCATGGAGCACTAACTTTCTAATACAGTATGGAGGGTCTTTAATGTTAGGCTCTAACCTCCCATTCAATTTATGTTTCAGCTATGGGAAAAATAATAATAAATTCTCAAAATCATGATATCATGAGTTTGCACACTTTCCTTATCAAAGTTCTAGTGATCCTTCAAATCTTCAAGTTCAAGCAGTACTTCCTGTAAAAATGCTCCCAGAGTACTACTATACAATCACACTAAGATAAGTTGTTTATACATTAGTCTGATGACTAAATTGTAAGTTGGGAAGGGCAGATGCCATGTCAAGCTCATTATTGTAATGTGAATCCCACATCTAGTAGCCAGACGACTACAAATTATTAAAAATTGTTTTACATTGATAGATTTCACAACATACAGTAAAGTTGGCAATTCTTGAACATACAACAAATAAAGAGCTATATGAAGTGGACAGGCGGTTGACCAAAAACTAACTGCCTACATGAGCCATGGATACTTTTACATCCAAGTTGACTGACACATTCATGTAGAACATACATGAAGCATACATAAAGCATACATAAAACATACATAAAGCATCTTTGTGCTTTATCTGGTAAAATAAGCCCTCATCAATGTGGCAGAAAAAATAAATCACCTGCAGTTAAGTAGGAATTCGTATTCAAGACAAAAATAAATCACCTGTAGTTAAGTAGGAATTTCTATTCAAGACAAAAATAAATCACCTGTAGTTAAGTAGGAATTCTTATTCAAACAGCTGAGCCTGGCGCGGTGGCTCACACTTGGAATCCCAACACTTTGGGAAGCAGAAGTGAGAGGATTACCTGAGTCCAGGGATTCGAGAATAGCCTGGTGGGACCTTATCTCTACAACAAATAAAAAAAAATTGGCCGGGTGTGGTGGCCCACGCCTGTAGTTCCAGCTACTTGGAAGGCTGAGACGGAAGGATCGCGAGAGCCCAGCAGGTCAAGGCTGCGGTGGCCGTGAGCGTGACACTGCACTCCAGCCTGGGCGACAGAGTGAGACTCCGGCTAAAAAAAAACACCACAAGAAACAATCACAACAACAACAAAAAGAGATAAGAAACTGGAAGAAAAAAAAAAAACCCAAGACCAGCATTTTGTCCTCCTCACTGTTGACTGCTTCACACACTACCTGATTTACTTAATCCTCTCAACTCTAGAAATTAGCTGCTATGTGCCTGAGGAAATCTGAAGAGGTTAAATAATTATGGTAAAAATCAAGACTCAAACCCTGATCTTCTGACTCTCCTGCCTCACGCACCACTGTTTCATGAAACGCTGTGGAGCTCTTAATGAAATACTGACCCATTTCGCAAACTTTTTGCTCCCACAAGAAAAAAATCTAGTTACACTATGTGTCTGCCTTAACAACAGCGCTTCATTTTTAAATCAAGAATTAATCTTTAACCTACCTCACAGTTCTGCACAGAAATGGGGAGATTTAATATTTTTTTAAAAATCAGAAAAATACCTTTAGAAAGTCCTATAAAGCCGGAAATAAACCGTCCTGGGTTCAATTTCACTTGACATATTTGACTAATACTAGTGCCAAACGACATCAGTCGTGACAAATCCATCACCCAGCAAAGATTTCCCCCATATGCGAATACTTACTTCCGTGCGTAGAGAAAAGTGTTAACTGTAGTATTTTCGAGTGTGCGTTTGTACACACTCATCCTCACTACGCAGTTTCATCAAAATGAGGGAGTAGTTCACTACTGGCGCCTTCCATATTTTCCCTTCTTACGCCAACAGGTCCGTTTCTTACACACACCGTCACCCATTTCCATTGAAAGAACATACCATTTGCCACAACACAAAAACGCCGAGCTGTCTCAAAGTGTCACGACGTTCAAGAACCGCAGCCGCCGCCGAGTAGATCTCCCCCGAATCTAAGAGGCCGGCCGGGTCGCTTCGACTCGAGGCACGGCCAGGCACAGCCCCAACCCCGCCCGCCTCCAACGCGGCGCTCCCCAAATTCCGCACTCGCGACACCCCGGTCCCAGAGGCCGCCAACTCCAGGCCCAAACAGGGCTCAACCCCTGTCCCTCGTCCGCCACACGTCCACGAGGGAGACGCGCAACCTACCCCTTCCCCCCGTCACAAACTCCACCACGGGACCCAGGGCCACCGTCAGAGGAGGCCTAAGCCCGTCCCTCCCCCGCTTCGCGCCCGCGGCCCGGGGCCGAGCTCCCCGGCTCAGTCCCGCGCGGAAGCGGCCTCCGCGTCCCAGGGCCTCTCCGCTTCCTCCCCTCCCCCACCCGCGGCCTAGTCTCGAACCAGCTCCCCAAGAGGCAGAAGGCCGAGCCCCGCAGCTCATTACCCCCGCTCCGGAGCTGGCACCGAACAGGGCGCGTCGTCCCGCTCGCCGCCGCCTTCCTCCTTGGTGATCTGGGCCTGCGACTCCGGAAAAGCAGTCCGCAGCGAGGCACAATGGCGCCCGCCCCTCTCCCGCATCCGGCGCAGACCCAGCCGCCCCACCGTTAAGTGCCCCTCCCTTCCCCTCCACCCCCCACGTCGCGGACTTCCTGGCTTCTCGCGAGAGTGGCGGCGCTGCGGGG